CTCCTGGACTCTCTGGCCGCTAACCGTGTGCACACTCTAATGGTATAATTAAGGCGATCTGGGCCACCACCAGAACTTAGGGAAGGCAAACTCGGCCTTGACCCCAAGCGGATAAAACTCATATACATACATGAACATGATCTCGACTATAATACTCAATGTAATACCCAGACTGGGTCCCCACCTGATCTTCTTTGAAAAATACGTAAGTGCTGCTGTACTGGTAGTTGACTCCTCAAGCTACATAAAAATATAAACAAACAAATATACTAAGTACTATGCTCATCATATGCTCAATAACATGCTAAGATGCTCTACTATATCAGATAACTTATCTGGATATAAAGGAACGCTCTAAGAGTTCGCTAAATAAAACTAAGTCCAAAAATTAGACTGATATGCTTAACTGATTTGGTTTGGCTCGAAAAAATACTTAAATTTTGGAATAAGACTCGGACTGAAAATCACGAACCAAAACTGACTCGAACCGCCGGTCGAACTGGCCGATTTGCTAATTAGCCGGACTGGACCGGGCTGGCTGGGCTCAGTCGCGCGCCGGGCCTGCTGGTGTCCGGACGTGGCACTGGGCACGGCTGGTGCGGCCGGGCTCGGTCATGCGCGGCACGAACGACTGGCTCGAGACCACGCGTGCACTGGCACTGGACAACGCTGTCGGAGGTCGCTGGGCGCGTCTGAGGTCGAGACCTTGCACGCGGACGTGGAGAGGCACTACTGGGCGCTGTCGCGTGGGCTGAGGGCTGGGGTACCTCGCGCCTACTGGGCGCGGGCACGGACAGGCACTGGGCCAGGCACTGCCGCGCTGGCTGCGCGGCCAGTGACCATGGCCGACCCTTGCCGGCCTTCCGGAGACTTTTTCCGGTGACATGCAACACTTCTCATCTTAATATGATAAAGGCACAAAAATGCTAAGAGACACTAGTAGACCTCGGGTAAAAATGCATGTGGCACGGGAGGGCCGATAAGGCTCGTGGCCACACTAGGGCACCGAAATAAACATTCTCAACTTTTAAATTCACTTATGGTTGAATACTTAACATCAAAAATAAAGACTTTAGGGGCTAACGCATTGGCCATAATATGCATATAACTAAGGCTCGGGGGTCCAAAATGGCACATTTTCATGAACAAATTGACCGAGGCAACGAAATCTAATCACGCTCAAACTTATACACCATCAATGACATAATATATGAGGGAGATTAAGCTATCAATCTCGACTTTGGCATGCATGAAACTAAAATTTTGAATTTAAGGCCATTAATTCGTAAAATCCAAAACTCATGAATTTTAACGTGCATGGCTTGATTTTACTTCATGATAAATCTTATTGTATTATAAAATAACTATGAGAAAGATATGGCTTGGGCTAACCATCACCAATAGTCGAAAATGAGAGCTAGGGCTTGAGTTGGGGCTAGTCACGACTTTGTGGAGTGTGGCTTGCCTTGGAGCTGAATTGGCTAAGCTTAATGAACTCAAGGGACTTAGAAAAATCGAAATATCATTTGGAAGGTGCTAAGCCTCGTGAGATATTGCTTGGATAAGGCTAGACCTCGATGCTTCTCGTCCTCGGGGCTAGGCACGCGCGCGTGGCTCGGTAGGGGCTGAAGTGCCTTGGTCTCGGTTTCCTTGCTTCCTCTTCAATATGAGCAAATGTTTAACTGTCCAAGGGCTCCCAAAGGCTGAGGAAATGAGCCTTAAATAGGCTAAGGGGCGGAGGTTTCTAGGTAGTAGTCAAAAGAGACCAAAAGAAGTGGAATTTCTCCATCCCATGCTCATGAAAGTTGGGGCCAAGGTCTTGGGTGGACTTAGCACGTTTTGCATGGTGTTCAGGGTGGTTTTTCCGAGCATTAGGAGTGAGAAAGGTGGTCTGGTCAGATGGTGGGGGACAAGGGAACAAAGACTAGCATTTTTGAATAAAATATTACATTGCTCATCACTCCACTTTGCACCCATGCTAGGTTGACTTCTCTTAAACTTTGTTAGGGCTATCTTAGCTCAAATTAATCCTCATTAAGTCCTTAACACTCTCAGCTATTGGGTCATGGAGGAATTGGGCCTGAATTTCAAGAATTAAGCTCAAGAAGTGGACCTGCCGCTGCTGACGCTGGGCCTGGGTGCTGGACCTCGCTGGTTGGGCGCGGCCTGCTGGGGCGGCACGACCTGGGCACGGCCTGTTGGGCTGAGCGCGGGGTCTGCGTGGGTTGCTCGTGGGATGACCTTGGGCCGAGTACAATGCTTGTTCTAGTGGTCCAAAAGACTTAGAAAAATTATGAGGAACTTACCCAACACATAACCAAGCATAGGGCATGGCTCGGCTGTGAGGCTAGGCTCGAGATGGGCGCGCATGACCGTGCTCACAGACCTAGGGCGCGGGACTTGGGAAATGGCTAAGGCACGGGCATTAGGTCTAGAACATGAACTTAGATACTCCAACACACTTAGAAAAAATATTCCAAGTATCAAAATACTAAGGCTTCCAAGACACGGCCTAGGACTTGACTCACGCAAGAGCTTGGCGCGAGAGGTTTGGACCCGGCACGGATTCGGTGCGGGATTTCTTAGGCCGAGGGAACACTTGGTTCTAGGGCTCGATAATGATGATCTCATACTTAGAAAAAAAAATATTCTAAGTAAGGCTTACAAGCGACTAGGGCTTGAACAAGACTCGGGACTACTAGGGATCGAGACTTGGCTAGGCGCGAACTAGGCGCGAGACTCGTGACCGAACGACTCGGTTCCGGACACGGCTCGACTTGGACGATTTATCGAAACGTACTCGGTTTCGATTATTCGTCAACATGGAATAATTAATCCTGACTCAATAAAATCCATTTCTAAAAATAAATAGACCGGAATTAATAACTGAAATTGAATAGCTTAATAACTGGCTCGGAACTCAAAATGAGCGATATTAAAAAAAGGAAATAGTTCAAACTCGGAAATAAACTGTCACTTTTATTAATACAGAACTGGGCTATTACAGCGTCGGGACATCGAAAGCAGTAAAAAGTGTAGGTCCATTGATCAGAGAGGAGATTGAAGGCGCGGCGGAGGATGAAGACGTTGATGGAGTTACCGGGGTAGTCGGCCACCATGGCGATCACAGTGGTCGGCAGCGGCGGTGACGACTCGACGACGGTGGAGACGACTCGGCGGCGAAGATGACGGACGTTTTTTTGATTTTTAATGGAGGGCTCCAATGGAGGATGAAGATGTCGATGGAGTGACTGAGGTGGCTAACCACCATGGTGTGTTAGGGTGGTCGGCGGAGGCGGAGAAGTCCGGTGGCTGAGATGAAGAAAATTTTTAGATTTTGAATGAAGGGCTCACATTTGTAAATTTGATAGTTCCTAAGGTCTTGCTTGCAATTTTCAAAACTTTTGATATATTATATTTTAGTTTATGAGTCAAATTTTTAATTAATGAAACTATAACTAATATTTCAATATTATTTTATTTGATACTAAAAATAGATAATATATTACATAAAAATACAAAAAATATAAAAAAAATGGTAATGGGTAGTGGTCATTGGGGCAAGCTTTGTTGAGATCACAGAAGTCGATGCACATTCTCAACTACTCCGAGAATTGTATTTCAATAACATGGCATGCGTTCAGCAATTTTTCGACCTCATGTTCAATTATCTTATCCATCTTCGCTCCATGATGCCTTCTTTTCTGTCTCATTTGTCTGACACTAAGATGGATATTGACGCTGTGCTCAATAACGCTGGCTTCAATCCCCATGAGCTCTTCTGGGGTGTAGGCAAAGATTTTCGCGAACTCTCTCACCAATTATATCAATCCTGCCCTCGGAGGATCTTCCAACTTTGCACCGATCTTGAACTTCCTCTTGCTTTTTCCCTCTACCATTTGTACCTCTTTGCTCATTAGTTCTTGAGTTTTTTGGTCTGTCTACTTCTCCTCCCAGCATTTCCTTCGCCCTCTTGGCGTTCTTCCCATATACTCCCACGGTTGTCTGATAGCACAATCTCGAAGTCATTGGGTCTTCTGCGATCTCCCCTACCCTTTTGTGCACCTGATACTTTATCATCATGTGATACGTGGACACTACTGCCTTGAACACGTCCAGACTTGTCCTCCCTAAGATAATGTTGTACGAGGATTTCGTGTTGACCACCACGAATCTTACCAATTTCACCTTCCTAGTTACTACCGTGCCTAAGGCTACCGGTAAAGTCACCTCTCCCAGAGGTACCACCTCGCTCCCATTAAAACCGTATAGGGAGGTCACTACTTCTTTCCGTTTGATATCTAGCTTCAGCTGTTTAAAACAATTGTAGAGCATCATGTCTACTGAGATTCTCGTGTCTATGAAGATCCTTTTTATGTCGTAGCCCGAAACATCAATTGTAAGAACGGTTACACTGCTCGACTATAAGTGAAATCCGTAATTTTCAGAAATTCCCGAGTTATATTTATTATGCTAAATGCTCAAATATGATAAATTATTCTTTGAATAATTCTATCTCAAGTTTAAAATAAGATTAATCCATTAATTTGGGTTGTTAAATTATAGCTATTCGACTCGAGAATTTATTTCGCTTCGAACCTTAGTTTGTTCCGAGTCATTTTTCTAGTAAATCCCGAGTATAACCGAGAATTGGTATTTTGGTACTTAGAAAATTTTCTAAGTGTTGGAATTTATAAAGCTCAAGCCTGTGACCCTCATTGTCAAGCCTAGCACTCACTCGAGCCACCCGTGCCAAGCCTTGCACGCGCGCCCTTAGCCGCGCCCAGAGGGGTACCCACCGAGCCCAAGGCATTAGCTAAGCCTTAACATTATTATCCTAAATTTTTCTAAGTATGGAGAAACTCATTTGAACCAAATGCTCGGCCCAAGGAAGCTCCTACACGCGTAGCACGAGCCCAGCAGCCTCCCCGCGCCCAGCCCAAATGCCGCGCCCAGGCCAGCCCGCAATAGCATGCACATGACCACTTTTGAACCCAATTCTATAATTTCCAGCCCACTTTCCTCATGGCCCAATTCAGGCGAGTAATCAGGGCCTAATGAGGGTCTAATTGAGCTTAAGTTGCCCTAACAAAAGATTAACCAAAGTCAACTAGCATGGGCAATATTTAATTGGAAGTGCATGATGGGTCTTTCATTATTTTAATCACTTGTGTATGTCTTTGTTCCCCATTCTTGTACCAAGACTGACCAGCCCTCTTCACCATGACATTATGCTCTGAAAACACCACAAAAACCGTGCAAAGAACATGACCATCATGTCCCAATGCCACTAAGTTCATGCTAATAGAAAATGAGAGATTCTCCACTTCCGCTCTTGTTATATCCGCCCATATGACCCTATTTAAACCCCAGCTCTGAGTTGGTGATAGCTCTTGATCATTTGATCATCCTAAGACTTATTAAGTTCAGCAAAAATAGAGAGAAAGAGAGATAAGGCCGAGAACTTCTACCCGAGCCCACACGCGCGCGAACAAGACCCGAGGGAGAAGAACTTCAGCCATTTTGAGCTCCAAGCATATTCTCTCGAGGCTTAGCAATTTCTAAGTGTTCCTTAGATTTTTCTAAGTCTTGTGGAGTTCACAAGCTCAGCCAAATCGCACTCCAAGTCCATCCTAAGCCCCAAAGCCGAACCTACCTATCATTTGAGCCCTAGCACTAGTTCTTCATTACCAGCCGAGGTAAGCTCGTGCCTCTTGAGTTCATAAATTATTTTATGACATATTATGATTTTTCATGAAGAAAAACCGAGCCATGCATGTGTTTAAAGGTAAGTTTTAAAATTATTAAGTTAAAGGCCTTAAAAATGAAATTTGAGTAGCAAGCATGTCAGAGTCGAAAATGCTAGTTAGATCACCCTTCAAAATCATGTTATTGATGATGTTAAAGTTTGGGCAGCGCCGTGCCAATCCCCAGCGCACGAGGCCTCACGCCAGAGCCTCGTGCCAAGTCCAGTGCTGACCCGAGCCGGGTCAGCTTAGCTTAGTTGGCCCCGGTGCGTGCCCCAGCAGCATGCCCGAGTGCCCAGTGACCTCGAGGACTCCCGGCAGCGCCCGAGGGGATTCTGTCCGCGTCTTTCCCGTGCCAGCAGCGCCTGGCCAGTGCCTGTCCGTGCCCAGCCGCACGACAAGCCCTCAGTCGAGCCTCGGCCGTGCCCAGCGTGCACCC